TTAAATGTTTTGCTGGGGTGTGGTATAAATAAAAAATAAAATGTAAAAAAACAAAAAAAATCATAATAATTTACAGGGTGTGCCATAAATACTAAATGTTTTGCTCGGGTGTGGTGTTTAACAAAAAAAACTCAATAAAAAGACAATGTTCTCCATAAAATACAACCACTTAAAGTAAATATTAAATGTTTTGCTGGAATGTGGGGGAAAAAATGTATAGGGTGTTCCATTAATACTAAATGTTTTGCTGGGGTTCACATTTATGTGAACTAAAAAAAAAGTAAAAAAAAAAAAAAAATAACAATAATAATAATAATAATAATAATTTACAGGGTGTGCCATAAATACTAAATGTTTTGTTGGGGTGTGGTATAAATAAAAAAAAATGTAAAAAATAAATAAAATAAATAATAATAATAATTTACAGGGTGTGCCATAAATACTAAATGTTTTGTTGGGGTGTGGTATAAATAAAAAAAAATGTAAAAAATAAATAAAATAAATAATAATAATAATTTACAGGGTGTGCCATAAATACTAAATGTTTTGCTGGGGTGTGGTGTAAAATAAAATAAAATAAATAAATAAAAATAAATAAATTTCAGGGTGTGGCATAAATTGTTTTTCTGGGAAAAAAACATTTCCCAGTGTGTGGTTTAAACTAAAGGCTTTTATGTAAAAAATGGCCTTGAAATAATGTGCCTTGTTCCAGTTCCAACAAGAAATATGTATGACAGGAAAGAATACAACCCTCTGCAGACCATTTCAGGTGGTCTTTATCATTCCATTAGCTACTGCATTAAGGCAAGCAGTAAAACTGTACATTTAAAGCTACAAAATTAAAACGTACCACAAGTAGTCAAGTAATTAAAGACAAGAAATACTGGAAAGTAATAGCTAAATAAGTTGAAGCTCTGGACGTTGGAAATGGAATAAAGTTCTTCCTCTTTGCCAGATTGTTCTAGAAGCAATTAAGTGTCTTCTGGCAGGTCACTAGTGCTGCTGGACCTCATAATGGTGTCATTTACACTCCAGTCACAAGTAGCTGTCCCTCAGCCCTGCCAATAACCAGCCGGAGATGCCACACCAATGTTGCGACTAATTAGCAAATTACGTTGAAAAAAGCAGAGCCCATAATTAACAGTTATTATAGCATTTCAGGAGTTGTAGCTTTAATTAGTGCAGAATGGGTGCTTGCATTTCAATGCTGCCTCTCTCTCTTTCTCCATCCATAGAGACGAGAGCGTTCCACACGCTGCCTCGCTCAGTTAAGTCTTTTGCTCTTAAGAAAGCATTGCTCTAACAAAACCATTATCAATAAGCTCAGGTTGTGATTTGCCACCACAAACGCTGATTAATTTGGCTTATGCAAAGTTGCTGTGCATTTAATAATGTTTTATGCAAGTTGCAAGAAGCAAGTATAATTCGGGTCCATTACTGTGTACCGCAATCCATCACCAGAAAAATTGCCTCTTCTTTTA